AAACTAATTGAGGTCAATACACGTTCGAATCGATTAAAATTCCCTAGAGCTCGAGTTAATTCTTGATTAACCAAGTTCGTACACAATGTTTAAAGTTCGACATAAAAATTAAATAAGTTTGAACAACAATGTATTCATCATAGCTCGATTTATTTACACCTCTAATTGGTTGTTGTGGTCGTCACACACACACACGTATATCATCCTCCAAATACGCCCTTAAAAAAAAATTAAAAAAAAAAAAATTTTGGAAAAACGAAATGCCAGGAAATTTTTAATGCACGTGCAGCATTCCAATAGAAAATGAAACGCCAACAGAAAAGTCACGTGGTGGAGCAAGAGATGACAGATGTCATCATACTATAAATATTCTACTTATATCACGTGAAATTGTTCCAAGTCCGTAGGGGTGGGAACGACGCTCTTTTGGCCAGCTCGAGCTCGAGCTCGAGTCCATGTTCCCGAGCTCGAGCTCGAGCTCGAGCTCATCGAGCCAATTTTTTTTGGCTCGAGCTCGAGCTCGAGCCAATTTTGGCGAGCTCGAGCTCGAGCTCGAGCTCAGGCTTATTAATTTTTTTTTTTTTTTTTTTTTTTTTTATTATTATTATTATTTAATTTTTTTATTAAAATTATTTTTTTTATTAGAAATTATTCATAGGAAAATAAAAAAATTTATAAAATAAATAATGAACTCTAGTTATATATATTTTTTATTTTTTCTATTATTATTATTATTATAATATTTTATATAATTATGAATTATTTAAGTAATATAGATTTGTTTCTATTTAAATACTAGATATATTTATTATTATAGACTATTTACTATTTAGTTAATAATAATAATAATAATAATAATAATAATAATAAGAATAAGAATAATATATATATATATATATGTAAAAAGAAAAAAGAAAAAAAAAAAATAAAAAAAAATAGAAGGCAGCTCGCGAGCCGGCTCGCGAGCTGTCGAACAGCTAATTTTGGGCTCGAGCTCGAGCTCGTCCGAAGCTCGAGCTCGTGAGCTCGAGCTCGAGCTCGAAAATCCCGAGCTCGAGTTCGAGCTTTTTTCGAGCCGGCTCGTCGAGTTCGCGAGCCGGCTCGGCTCGTTTACCACCCCTAGTTCCAACATATAGTGTATACAGAACATTGATCAATAATTAATGTGATATAGCAATTATGGTATAGTATAATTTGAACTTAATGAAATATATGTTACGCGTAAATAGAAGTAATTTATTTAATTAAAAGAAATATATGTGATGTAATTATACTATAATATCTTCAATTTAATAAACAATCTCCATATATTATAATATATTTTAGTGAAACTTCTTTTCTTCTAAATTATAAGCAGGTCTCTTATTTTTATTAGAGCCTTAAGATATAAGTCTCTAGTGATAAAACTTATTAGAACTAAATGACAAGCTTAACTAAACATTTGCTACACATTCTTTATAAAATTCGTTCCAAACATACCCCTCAATTCACAAATTCGAATTCTGCATTAAGTAAAATTTAATTGCATTTATCTTCATTTTAGTTTGCATCTAATATTTTCATTTTCCATCTAATATTTTCATTTTTTTCTTTACAGCAAACACGTATTTTTTTCCTTTCATCATTTTAACATTTCTTACACTATTTGTAAAACAAATAAAAATTCTTTTTTTTCTATATAATATTGAAAATTACAAAAAAATATGTTTTTCATTTTTTTAATTTAATTTACGTATTTTTTTATATATTTTTTAATTCTATCTGTTGTTAATACTGTAGTAGACTATGATATACTATGATGTACTATGATGTACTATGATATATTGGTGTACTATGATATACTGGTATACTATGATATGCTACAACGTACTATGGTTTACTACGGCGTACTATTCCAAACCCTAGCAGCAAAACAAACTCTCACCCGTCGCCAAACCCTAGCAGCCAACAACTTGCAGCCGCCGCCAACTCCTATCGACAAAATCCTAGCCGTCAACAAAAATCCTAGAGCGTTAAAAAACCATAGATTAATGCAACCACCTTCCACCATCGATCTAATCTCAACCACCGTCTCCACCATAACAATCACCTCTATAAACACGACCACCACCGTTATTGCCACCTCCGTTGCCCCCTTCTACACCCACCCCCTCTGCCGCATCACCGCCGAGGTCTCCAAGAACCTCAAAAATTTCAGATCTCCGCATCTGCCCTTCAGCCTTCTCTACTCCTCCGTGGCAGATCTGGATTGGGTCCTCAAATTTCGACGGCACCAAAATCATCAGTTTGCAAAAATATGAGAGGAGTCGAGAAAGAGTTGAAACCCAGATCCCCACATCTCCCTCTTCAGCCTTCTCTACTCCTCCGTGGAAGATCTGGTTGGGTCCTCAAATTTCGACGGCACCGAAATCTTCAGTTTGCAAAAATATGAGAGGAGTCGAGAAAGAGTTGAAACCCAGATCCCCACATCTCCCTCTTCAGCCTTCTCTACTCCTCCGTGGCAGATCTGGTTGGGTCCTCAAATTTCGACGGCACCGAAATCTTCAGTTTGCAAAAATATGAGAGAAGTAGAGAAAGAGTTGAAATGGTTCAAAAGACGAGAGACACGATTGCGGTGGGGTGGCTGGGAAAAAAAAAAGAGGGGAGAGAGATTAATGAGAGAAAAACCTAATTTATTATTATTTATATTAAGGGTATTTTCGGGTTAAACAAAAAAAAAAAGGGTGTGGGTCAAATTCTATTTTGAACTAAGGATTTAGTTAATATATTTCATTTGAGGTTGTCATCCACTTCAAATTAGGTTTATGTCGAGGGACTCTTAGCATATTACCCCTTTTTATTAGTGGGGAGCTAAGATATTCAATGAATTTGGCAGTCTTTTGATATGCACTTACGGGCTGTTTGACTAAGCTTATAAGATGTTAAAATGAACTTATACGGTGTTTTAGAGCTTATAAGCTCTTCTAAAGTGCTTGGTAATTTTTTTAAAAAAGATCTTAATTTTTTTTAAAATAAGCTATTGGAGAGTAAATAAGATCTTTTTAAAAAAGTACATCTACCCCCACCTTTTTATTTAAGATTTTATAATGAGTAAAAATAGAAAATAAGCTCATTATCCAAACACTCTAAAAATTAATCCTAAAAATAAGATGTAACAGCTTATCAACTCTTTAAAACATCTTATCAGACGTAAGAGTTTATCAGTTGTTTAAAATAAATTTTAGCCAAACACCCTCTTAGTGTTGAATATACTATAGTGCTTGGTGGAGTGGGGTCACTACATAGGTTGGCTATCGAATGTGCTGAAAATCTTGAATTGTCACACAAACCGACTTAAAAAAATTCCGAAATATGAACGTTTATATTTTACATAAGATTTTATTGGACAAAGTTGATATGATTCTTACATTCATTTGTCATGATCATATGTAATTACATCAATTAAGATGACTAGCAACTGATTAAGAATGATCTCGTTGAAATTTGTCGACTTTACGTTACTCTTTCCTTAAAGAAAATGATTGAACTAAGCATATATTGCTTTCATTAGAGCTCATCATTAACTCAAGCAAGAAAAACTTAAGAGTAGAGTTTTTCATCCTGTCACTAACTTTCGAAACCACATCTTATTCACACACGCTTGTGATATCTATAGAGTTTGAAAAGAGGTGCAAGTATTGTATTTGAATATTGAGTACGGACTTTCGTCAAGTTAGATATTTGAATAAGTAAAATACGAAATATGATATGGGACCAAAAGAAATCACAAATTTATGTTATGAAACCAAATACTGGATTTTCTGAAGAAAAAAGATGTTGTTGATCAACTTTCATCGAACAAATTAAATGAGATTTAAGAAGATCGTAAGAGTGACTTAGTTGATGGAGTAAGATAATACATAGCTTAATAATCCGAGCTTGAATCATTTTGCCGAGGCTATCTACATCAAGCTTGGTCAAATACAATTTTTACTAGTCTTAACTTCACATATTAACACAAAGTATAATAAAATAAATACTAGTCTTAACTTATTTGGTATAATTATGTGGCATATAGTAAAATAGTATCAACATTCATTAATGCGTATTACATACTTATCATGTTTGTTTTTGTGAAATTATATATAAATAAGATTGTAAAATATACAATTTTCCTCCCTTAAGTTTGAATCGATTTGACATTTAGTCCTCCATGTTCACAAAAAATATATTTGGTCCCTCATGTTTCAAAAATTCAACACTTTTAGTCATTTCCGTCAATATTATGTTAAAACTAACGGAATCAAATATGTGCCCATCACTACCGTAATTAACGAACTAAGGGTAAATTAACGGAAATGACCAAAAGTGTCAAATTTGAAACATGAGGAACCAAATGTGATTTTTGTGAACATGAGGGACCAATAATGAAATCGGTGCAACTCTGAGGGGTAAAAACTGTAAATTTCCCCAATAAGATTTGTTAACAGTCAGTGTCAAAATGAGCTATTAGCACATACCCCCTGTGTTAATTCTAATTGCCGAAAAACCCCCTGTGTTAAAAATATCAGCAAGAAACCCCATATGTTGTGTTTTCAAAGCACATCGGTCCTTATTTAAAAATTTATTGTGGAATTATGTTAAATGACCACATTACCCTCACAAAAGAAATATTAAAAAAAGAACGTAAAAGGAAACAAAAAGAATTTCATAGGTTATTTTTGACTTTTCAAGTACCACACTTCTATTCTCACATACCGCGTTTGCATTACTGATTACACTAGACGTTGTTAGGGGCTTTTTTGCATTATATATTTTTCACAGGGGAGTTCTTGCTAATTTTTTTAACACAAGAGGTGTTTTAGCAATTATAGATTACACATGGGTACTTTTTGTAAAAATAAAAACCCGTGTCAGAAATGGGAAAGCTCTAGATATTGAAACAAATCCAAATGTTTCTTAAAACGGGTCGGATCCAAAATGGTAACCCGTATTGAATTGAAAGATTCAAATTTCAAATTTCAAAAGTGGTAGCCGTTTGTCCGCCATTTTTATAACCCTCCCCCAATTCTCCACACCTCCAATTTTTCATTCAAACCCTCCAAAAAAGACACTCTCTCCGTGTCACTTTCAGAAACCCTAGTTCGCCATGGCCGGAGCGAAGAAACCTCCATTGACAACCAGCAACAATGCCAACATCCCGCCATCTGAAACCACTGCCGCCGCCGCCGCCGCCGGCGGTGGCAAAAAAACCATCGAACAAACCTACCAGAAAAAGACTCAGCTCGAGCACATCCTCCTCCGCCCAGACACCTACATCGGATCCATAGAAAAGCACACCCAGACCTTGTGGATCTACGAGAACGAAAACATGGTCCAGAAATCAATCACCTATGTTCCCGGCCTGTACAAAATCTTCGACGAGATCCTCGTCAATGCAGCCGACAACAAGCAGCGGGACCCGAGAATGGACTCCGTGAAGGTGACGATTGATGTTGAATCGAACTACATCAGTGTGTACAACAATGGCGATGGTGTGCCTGTCGAGATCCATCAAGAGGAAGGGGTTTATGTGCCGGAATTGATTTTTGGGCATTTGTTGACGAGTAGTAATTATGATGATAACGAGAAGAAGACGACTGGTGGGAGAAATGGTTACGGGGCGAAGCTAACGAATATATTCTCGACTGAGTTTGTGATCGAGACTGCCGATGGAAAGAGGCTGAAGAAGTACAAGCAGGTATGTTATATTGTGGTTTTTTCTGCTGTTTGCAAGGGGCTTGTTTGAACGGTTTCTTTGTTGTGTTTTAAATAATTTCATGATGGATTACTGTTTATTTTTTCTTTTGATTACTCCAAGTTATTGTCTATGAATTATCACTCTCTGCAGTTTGTGAGTAATCTAACATGTTCTTGTACTATGAAGGTTTTCTCCAACAACATGGGTACGAAATCTGAGCCTGTTATATCGAAATGCAAATCCGGTGAGAATTGGACTAAGATCACCTTCAAGCCAGATTTGACAAAATTTAGCATGAGTTGTTTGGAAGAGGATGTTGTTGCCTTGATGAAGAAGCGTGTGATTGATATTGCGGGATGCCTTGGAAAGACAGTGAAGGTTGAATTGAACGGTCAACAATTTCATTTCAAATCGTTTTCCAATTATTGCGACCTTTACCTAAAATCTGCATCACTTGCCAGCTCAGAACCACTCCCAAGGTTTTAGCCTAATTCAGATACTTGATGTTTTTTGCACTTAGTCGGTTGACTAAGTTATACCGATTCCGGCACTGATATTTTGTGAATTTGGTGGCAGATTTGAAGAGGAAGTACATGATAGGTGGCAGGTTTGCGTAAGTCGAAGTGAAGGACAGTTTCAGCAGGCAAGCACTACTAGATGATTTGTTTGGCTTTTATCTTTATTTGTTTAAGTTAATATGTATGCTCGTTAATTGTCAATTGGAAATCAAAGCAAATCAGGATTACATGAAAAAACATAAATGACTAATGTACTTGTTGGGTTGAACACAGGTCAGCTTTGTGAATGGAATTGCAACAATCAAGGGTGGGACTCATGTCGACTACGTTACTAATAAGATAACAAGCCATCTTGTTGCTGTCATAAAAAACAAGAACAAGAAGAACAAGAAATTTGACCTTAAACCTCATACTGTGAAGAATCACTTGTGGGTTTTTGTCAATGCTCTAATTGACAACCCGGCTTTTGATTCACAAACCAAAGAGACTCTAACACTCCGTGCAGGGAGTTTTGGTTCTTCATGGGATTTCTCGTCGAAGTTCCTAGACAAAGGTTCGTGGGGCTCATCCACATGGCCATTATTTATTCAACAGGCTAATGGCTTTATATTTCTCAAAATGAAAGTTGTAACTCCTTCGTTTCATTACTTGCAGTGTCCAAGTCCGACATAATGAAAAATATTGAGGAATGGGCAGAATTCAAACAAAAGAAAGACCTTAAGAAAACCGATGGAGCAAAAGACAGGAGGATCTATGGACTAACCAAGCTAGCTGATGCCAATGAGGCTGGAGGGAAGAACTCTGAGAAATGTACCTTGATTTTGACAGAAGGAGACTCAGCCAAGGCACTTGCAGTAAGTTATTAAGCTCATGACATAGTTGTACATGAAGCTTTCACGCTCACAGTTTTTGATTTAAATTTAGAGAATTAGATGCGCAAATGTTAGTTTGTTTACGTATCGAGGTTTCTTTGACAAACATCTCACGCATTCTTCCTCGGTAGATTGCTGGAATTTCAGTTGTTGGGCGAGATCACTATGGTGTGTTCCCTCTTAGAGGAAAATTGCTCAATGTCAGGGAAGCAAGTCATACTCAACTAATGCAGAACGTTGAGATTCAGCATATCAAGCAAATTTTAGGACTCCAGCATGGTAAACAGTATGATAGTGTCAAATCACTCAGATACGGACACTTGATGATAATGACTGATCAGGTGAGACTTGCTGTTCTATATCTATGTAGTTCTTTTGGCCTGTTAAACTGAAATTAAACTTCTTTCATGTCATCTGCAGGATCATGATGGTTCGCATATCAAGGGTCTCCTAATTAATTTCATACATTCCTTCTGGCCATCATTGCTCAAAGTTCCTTCTTTTATGTTGGAGTTCATAACTCCTATTGTGAAGGTACTGAAAGGCAAATATCTTAGATTACTGCTTATAATTCCCTTTTTACTAAATTTGTTATCTGATTTTGTAGGCTACAAATAAGTATGGGAAAAACAAAAAATCCTTCTATACAATGCCTCAGTATGAAGCATGGAAAGAAAGTATAGGATCAGATGCAAAAAACTGGACGATTAAGTACTATAAGGTTTTTGTCTGCTCAGTTCAATATTCTATATTCCCTCTACTTTTGCTGTTCAGAGCTGATGATAAAATCAGTTATAGCACTTGCATTGGCTTATAGATTCATTTGCTGTCTTATATCCTTGTAGGGGCTGGGAACAAGCACAGATAAGGAAGGGAAGGAGTACTTTGAAGATCTTGGTAAACACAAAAAGGATTTTGTTTGGGTAGATGAGCAAGATGGGGACGCCATAGAACTTGCTTTTAGTAAGAAGAAGATCGAAGCAAGAAAGAGTTGGCTCCGCCAGTTTGAGGTAGGAAGCTGGATCAACCATATAGTTTTTCGTAACGAGAATCAAGTTACGGTTACTTGCAACATTCTTATGAAGGAAAATAGTAATAAATCTTCCTGTTTTGCAGCCTGGCACTTACCTTGACGATCGAGATTCACACATCAAGTATCGTGACTTTGTCCATAAGGAACTTATACTGTTTTCAATAGCAGATCTTCAGAGATCAATTCCATCAATGGTTGATGGGCTGAAACCTGGTCAAAGAAAGATACTTTACTGTTCCTTCAAGAGGAACTTTGTCAAGGAAGCAAAAGTCGCCCAGTTCTCTGGTTACGTGTCCGAACATTCCGCTTACCATCATGGAGAACAGAGTCTTGCTAGTACTATAATTGGTATGGCACAAGATTATGTAGGCAGCAACAACATAAATCTTCTTTTGCCGAATGGTCAGTTTGGTACTCGAGGCCAGGTGACAAACAATAGGATACTGTTTCTTAAGTTATTCCATTCTAATTTATTCTTATTTTCTAAAAGAACTTCGGTTGGACTAAACAGTATGATGTATGGAATTGTGTTCTCAGGGTGGGAAAGATCATGCCAGTGCAAGGTATGTTTACACACAGCTGTCTCCAGTTACACGGTTTTTGTTTCCAAAGGCAGATGACATTCTGCTCGACTATTTAAATGAAGATGGGCAGATGATTGAACCTACTTGGTGAGTTCTGTTAGTTTCGTATAAATATTTGTGAAAGGTAATATTGTCAACAGATAATCTGGAGCTAATGTCCTTTGTCACTATAGGTATGTGCCAATCATTCCTACAGTTTTAGTAAATGGAAGTGAAGGAATAGGCACAGGATGGAGTTCCTTCGTACCAAATTATAACCCTCTCGACATAATCGCTAATGTGAGGCATTTGCTGAATGGTGAGCCAATGGAAGCTATGCATCCATGGTATAAAGGATTTAAAGGAACAATTGAGAAAACAGCAACGAAGGAAGCTGGGTTCAGCTACACTGTCACTGGAATCATAGAGGAAGTGGATGAAACAACACTAACAATAACAGAGCTTCCAATTAGAAGATGGACTCAAGATTATAAGGAATTTTTGGAGTCTATTTCTGCTGAGAATGACAAGAGCAAAGATCCATTTATTGAGGTATCTTTCTGTTCAATTTGAATATTCTGCATGGAAAGATGGAAATCTAATAAAAATGATATTTTACAGGGCTGCCGTGATAACAGTGGTGGAGAAATTATACATTTCGCGGTTTATTTGTCAGAGACAAATCTTCTGGTAGCCAAGCAAGAAGGATTGCTGAAGAAATTTAAGTTAACTACGACAATGAGCACTAGTAACATGCATCTGTTTGACTCCAAAGGCGTAATTAAGAAATATGATAGCCCTGAACAAAGTACGTGACAGCAACACAAAGAGAATTTATTTCACATTATTGAGCATGGCTAATTCACTAATTCTATTTTCTCATCTGCAGTTCTTGAGGAGTTCTTTTACATAAGGCTTGAGTTCTACGAAAAGAGAAAGGTATGTTTTTTCTTATTGTTTGTTGGGGACGAGAGGACGGTATTAGCTTCACCTTGCAATATATCACTAACAAATGAATTTTGTCCTTGCAGAAAGCTTTGTTGGCCAATCTTGAGTTAGATATGCTAAAATGTGATAACAAGTACAGATTCATTAGAGGTGTTGTTGAAGGTACCATTGTTGTAAGCAACAGGAAAAAGGCTGATTTGTTCCTTGAGCTGAAGGCAAAGGGTTTCACCCCTTTCCCGAAAAAGAAAAATACTCCCGAAGTTGCTGTTGCTGGCGCAACTGATGATACAGAAGAAACCGAAGATAACACTGAAGTGGAAATTGCAAAAGGAGTTTCCGCAAGTGATTATGACTACTTGCTGTCTCTGGCAATTGGTACCTTAACTGCTGAAAAGTTGCAAGAGTTGCGCGATGAGAGGGAAAGGTTGACGCAAGAAGTTGAAGACCTGAAAAAATCGACAGTGAAGTCTTTGTGGACAAAAGATCTGGATGCTCTGGAGGCCAAAATAATCGAGGTGAGATCTAATAGACATTCATGTAGTACTGTTATTTTTTTCTCTGGCAGACATAGATTTTACTTACATAAGCATATCTTTTTTCAGGATCTAAAGAACAGTGAGAAAAAATGGGAGGAGGATAGACAAAGGATACAAGGTGGTGAGACAAAGATAGCTAGACCACTAGCGAAAAATCCGCGAAAGAATACCAAGAAAGCTACAACCAAAAAGGAATCTACTGCAGAGCACATGGATGTATCAGATAATACTGTAACTGAAACAGGTTTGTTCACATCAGTGTAAACTTCATGCTTTTGAAGAGAAATTGGTATTTAAGACTAACGTGCAAATGCTTTTCTTTTAGATAAAGTTGCTGAAATCAAGAAACCTAGAGGCAAGGCAGCTGCTGCTAAAAAGAAAGCTCCAGTGGCAAAGGTATGTCATTCTTGCTTAAAATTGCTGTATATGTGTCAACATTGGCACATTTTCACATTGAAAAACTACAACTCCTTAAGACATTGCTTTGTCATGTATTATGGCAGGTTGTAGCAGAGGCTGACGAAGACGATGACGATGGGGTTGCTGAGCTAAGACAGAGAATTGCAGCTTACAATTTCGACTCTTCTCCTGATCGTGCAGAAGGTAAACTCAAATACATAATCTGTTAAATTGTGCGAATTTTGGATCTCATAGTAAAATTTTATAATGTCTAGTCAAATGTAGGGATATCTAAATTTTAACGCGACAGAGTTAAAATAAAAAAATCAGAATATTCAAAGATAATTCAAAAAAATAGTTCCCCTCTCATCTAAATTCATTTTTTCTCACTTCACATTTCTTTATTCAACAGGAAGTTATTTCTTGTCCTGAAACTACATTATTATCCTCAAAATTTCTTAATTATACGCACATACGAAAGTTTTTTTATTATTGACCAAAGAAAGTTGATGTTTATATTCGGCATTAGTATCCTTGTCGTGCATGTTTTAAAATTTTGAATGTACCATGTATTTGCATCCTGATGTACCCCGCCCCGCAGTCTGTGTCTAATTCATACGTTATATGTAACTACTTTTATACACTTTGGTTCAAAGAACTAATTTCAAGTAAGAGACCTCATTTACGACGACATTACATTGAAAGTTTTCTGTCGATGTGGAGAGTTTGTCTCAAATTTCTAGAAAGTAACTCGTCTTAAAATACCGGTGATTCATTTTCGTACAGATATGGAAACAGAGTTGCCCCAGCTGCAAACGAAGAAAAAAGAACCAACCAAAAGGGCAGCTCCTCGAAAGAAGCAAGTGTCAATTGTTTCAGACGATGAAGAAGACGATGATATCGAGATAATCGATGATGACGATTTCGAACCCGAAGACAAGAAAAAGAAGGGAGGAAGAAAACCAGCCAATCCAAAAGCAGCAGCAGCAAAACCACCTGCTGGAGCAAAGAAAAGAGGACCAGCCAGCAAACAATCTCAGCTTGTAGGTCAGAAACTCATCACCGAAGTTCTCAAACCCACTGCTGCAGCAGATGATTCCCCTGAAAAGAAGGTTAGGAGAATGAGGGCGTCGCCTTTTAACAAGAAGAGCAGTTCTATTTTGGGACGAGGGGCAATAAACGTGGACGATGATGAGGATAAAGAGATAGGGGAGACTTCAAACGAACAAGAAAGAAGCTCGGTTTCTGATGATGTCAGCAAAGGTGTGGGCCCCGCGGTGAGCAGACCTAAGAGGGTTAATAGGAGGCAGACGAGTTATGTTATAAGTGACGATTCGGAGAGTGAAGCTGCTGAGGAGGTTGATGTTGATAGTGATGCAACTGAAGATAGTGAGTTCAACGATGATGAATGAGGGGATTTTACTTTCTTTTAACCTGTGAATTTTGGATGTCTGTTGAAAAGTCAGTTAATCACTCACTGCCTTGTAATGAAAACTTCAATGATGTTTCTTTTTTCTAACTCTTTCTTGGGATCTCTGCCTGAGTATGTATGACTGTGTTTATGTCAAATGCCTCGGATGTATTGAATGTATTTCATGCACTTTTGCTCATGCATAATTTGTATAGGTTTACTAAAAAAAAAATGTCAAGGGCTCAATCCAGGGTGTAAATAATTGTACAAAATAAGAAAGTATGATTAAAATTTGAAAAGATTAAACATGATGAGGTACAAATGGCTCAATCACAAAATATTAGAGTGAAATAGGAATGCAATGGGTTTAGAGTAGAGAAAGTTCAAATGAGAGGAAGCCCATGCGTTCCGAGAAATCTGTAAAAAGGAGTGTTGGGGAAGGGTTTCCTGGCGCTAGCACTTCAACAGTCAAGTCAGTCAGAATCGTGGAGAAAATGATGATGTGTGTGTAGTGAAAATAAGTGTGTATACTTGTCGCATGGACGAGGTGGTGGGTCCCTGGTTCTATCTATGGTCAGATCATACATGGGTGTGATGTGATTCAACGAGCTATTTTAGTCTACTGAGGGCGAGATGTCTCGTTCCTTGCGACCTCGGTCAATTCAATGGCAAGAGTTCGGTGCTGTGGTCGCTTCTGCTTTACCCGTAAGTGGGTTTTTTCTCAGTCCACGTCATTCGGCAGGCTTTCTGTCCTTGGGTCGAGTGTAGTTACATCCATCGTCTATGACTATCCCATGCGGGGCTAGTAGTAGACTTTATCAAGTGTTAGTAAGCCTGAGCGGCCTTTAAACATCATTGTAGTATTGTTATTATTTGAACCCTTACCGCAATTGAACCCGTATCAAAATATATGAAAAACCTTTGTGCAACTTTAATAAAGATCCTACGTTGTCAAAGTAACCATTGTTGTGGCCATAATCTGTACTTGCAACTTTTATTAACTAAGTTACTCTCATTTAAAAAAAAAAAAAAAAAAAAAAAAAAAACCTCCTTAATTGTACCAAATGTTTTATATGAAATGTTTGGGATTAAAGTTTCAGGGACATGATTAAGGTGGTGTTTACAAACGCTTTTTGAAAGTGATTATGAGTTTTTTTTAGCTCATAATATGTTTTCAAGTGTATGCAAAATCAACTTTTGCTTTTACTTCTCTTAAAATAATCTGCTTTAAGCTATTTTTTTAAAAGCACCCCTAAGCCTGCTTTTTCTATTTAAGTTCTTTTTCCGGAATATTTGCAAAAGCCGCAAACTTTTAGAAATAAGCACTAAAAACTGACTTAACTCACAATCACTAACTTCTGCTTTTAAATAATCATTTGCAAACAACACCTAAAAACATGACAGCTTAAAACAAAGCAAAAAATCAAAACCCAGAAAAATAGGAATTGCAGAATTGCCAACTGCATATACATAAGAGGGAGCATTAAATATTAAAGGCATAACATAAGAAGATAACATAAACAATAAAGACAGAATACAGAAGTTACATCTTTTCCAAGACAACAAATTGAATCTACCTTGTTCTATTTGCATGAAAGTAAAAAATTACACTAAATAAAGTTCGATCGATAGCCCATTTCTCCGTTTCGATTCTGTCCGTAACTACAAAAGTTACGGAGATAGTTAAGGGAGGTGGCTACCCTCTGTACACATATTCTAGTCAGCACTAAAAACTGCAGTAAATAGAAAGTAAACCCTACAGGTAGATCAAGAAAAGCTTATTCGAGAGAGCACTCACCGATTAGAAAATCGAGCCTGTCAATCATTTGGTGAGGTTCCTTCTAGTAGCTTCCATCTTCAACAGAAGGTCCTTTATATCTGTTTCCATCCTCATTTTCATATTGAAATACTCCTGGTACGATCGCTCGAGAGTTTGCTGCTCTTCGACTTTTTGCTTCCGCATCTCCTCAGCTTCAGCCAAACGGAGCTTTGTGATTCGGCTTGTGTATTCTTCTTCGATTCTTTCACTTTTCGTGACTGATATGCGCTTCAGAGCTTCGGACTCCTTTCTTGCATCCTCAGCGCGCGATTGGAACATCTTAGCCTCTGCGTGTTTGATTCTCACAATGCTGTCCAATTCGTCAAAAATGGGTACTTTCTGAGCATTTCTTCGGATATCCATGTTCGCTGTGTATGTATCATTCCGATTGCTATCAAAATCAGGAAATAAGTCAGGAAGTAAACTGCCACATTTTTCCAATTGCTGAGATTTATCTGGATAAGACTTCATCCAGCTGGCTCCTTGGCTGGGACCCGCAATTCCGTTACTGACTTCTTGGTTTTTGGTCGGCAATTCCTTTCTGGATTCATTTGACATTTTCACAGGCCTGTCTGGATTGTTTTCTGTTAACCAAAAAAAGGGAAATGAGCAAATTTAACTAGAGCAGAAGATAAAGACAAGTGACGAAGAAATCAATTACATAATGCATTAGACGGACAACTTCCATAATGAAGGATTTTTCCAGACTAATACTGAGAATCATCGTAATTCAACCCAAAGGACACATGATTCTACACAAATTTTAAGAGTTTTGAGTCCACAAAAGTATTCTAATTTAGTCAATTTTGAAAGGAATTGCTGTATGTTCTTTATCTACGTTGAACTTCAATTACATAAATATAAGAGAAGGTTCCATAAGACACTAGTTTAATACAGATTATCCATTGCTTAGACTTAGCCTTCAAAATTTAGTTCTCATTTTGTTGTTTCTTCCAAAGATAACAATCACATCAAACAGGTAAAATCATAAACTCAATACCATGACATGTCAGATTTTTTTTTTTAAAAGAAACTAACTCAATCAGTCATAGATATTCCATTGAGGCAACCCCTAATGCGGCTGATTGTAAGAATTTCACAGCCCGCAACTTAATTCAACATCTAAAAATCAAAAAAGGTGGGCAAAGGAAAATGAGTGTTGCAAAAAAATTAGCTAGTTGATAGTAACCGCACATTATTTCTCCGTCTCAACATCATCACAGCTTACATGTCAGATATAAGATGCATATACAACACAAAAACCAGCAAAAAGGGAGAAAATATATATATTTTTTTTATTTAAGTCTCCAGCAAAACATGATATCTTTTGATAGCCCAAGTATGAATTTTTTTCTAAAATGTAATTTAAAAAATATTTGAGTAGTATATGATGTCAATGTGCTTATATATGATGAAGTAGTTACAGAACAAATAAAAGATATACCAGTCTTACCAGTGAAAAAATTCATGATATGGCTTTGCACCTCCTGCAGATCTGCTCTATTAGCCAATTTAGACAGCATCCTGACAGCGGTTTCATGCAGCTGTTTCCCTCTTACATCCTTGCTGGCACAAAACAGTTTCCTTACATATTCAAGTTCTCTAAAAAGGTTTTCCGCCTTCCATTCTTTGATAAAGTTCTGGAAAACTTCCTTCACAAAACCGAACATCTCAGACGGATGACTGCATGCAACACAGTAGAACTGCATTTCTGTAGTGCCTTGAGCACCTGTTGCACTACGCCCGTTTCTGATATGAGATTCTCGTAACCCACAATCCGCATGGCACCAATGTAGGCATACATCACACCCAACCCAACTGCACGTGTTAGATGCCATGTCAAACTTCGAGCACACAAGACACATGCACTCCCTGCAAAAATCGCTCCTCTGCATGCATATTTTGCAGTCACATTCATCCACAGGCAGAAGGCTCCTGCAATTGAGATTCCTACATCTCATATTGAGAAATATCTCCGCCAGATCAGAAGATTGGATGTCGTATTTCTGCATAAGAAAATCTTGAAGCCCTGTTTTCAAAGCCACCAAGATCTCCAATTGAGTACGATTTGCATTCAGTAGCATATCAAGGGTAACGTCGGCCCTATTCTGTAACGCCTTCTGCAAAGCACTCAGCTGCCACTGCTTGCCTGGATTTGAGATGATGTCTCGCACAAACTCTTTCACGCATGCCATGTGTTTTTCGGTCATATCATTGAATTTTCGAGCCATTGTGTTCAGAGGTTCAGAAACTATCATAGTAACTATTGACTCAGCAAAGTCAGCTCCAACCACCAATACTTGATCTTTCCTGTCTGGGCCTTTGCTCCTTCGTAAACTACCACTATCTCTATCTGGCATTAATTGCCTTCTATCTTTGGAGTAATCTTGTCCACTTTCGTAAGAGACAAAACCCTGTGCTCCAGATACATGTTTGCTGAAACCTAATTGTCTTTCAAGTCCAGTTGATATTTTGGAGTTGCCTTGCGATAATTGAGACTGTTGATGCAAGCCATTTTCTCTTGACGTCATTCCTTCATAAGCTGGAGGTTCTTTATTCTTATTCTCATCGAGAGATAAAGCTTTCCAATCGACTCCCTGAAACAACGGCTTACTTCCAACCGATTTCTCGAAATCAAGTGCATTATGAGTCAGGGAACAGCTCGGGTTGTGAGTGAACTGCTGAGAACCAGAAATCGACACCGAAGCTGTAAATCCGTCAGAATTGGTCCGAAACGAGCTAGCAAAAGATTGAAAACTTCTGGCATGGCTAGGAGAACCAGGAGCCTGTCCTCTATTCTGAGAAGCAATAGGCAACAAAACATTGGGCAAGCTAAGGGAAAGCTCAAGCGCCAATTTTTCATCTTTAGGCTTGTGGTGAGTTAATTGTTCAACTTTCTCTGGCTTCTTAATCGGATCGGTGGATAAAAATTGGAATCCTCTGGTACTTGGCCCTTCCATTTCAAAGTCTTCACTTGCTGCAAGGTCCTTTGGTTTGTCCTCAACCTCGAAATTAGTGTCTGTGAAGTGAGGAGTATGATGGGGCACAAGAGCAACACTTTTGCCCTTATCCTTTAAATTCCGGGTCGTATTCTCCGTGGATGGCAGTTCACTTCCAGGTGTTATTTCCAAACTTCCAGTCATGACAATGTCATCTGCATTCATTTCAATGCTAGTACCCCTGTTTCCACCATCCTCTTGTAAAGATAGTAACTTGCCATCATCACTTGTACTGTCAGCATCCTCCTCCAAACAGCTTTCTCTAGTGGCCTCCACTACCTTATTGTCGCCACCATTTTCCCCGTTTGTACCATTATCATCTTTATTTCCACCTGCCCCTTGAAACAATGTATCCCGACAATCTGGCAAGTCATCATTTTTGTTTGAAACATCTTTGACATCCTCATATACTACTATATCTTCCGCTTCTTGCTCCTCGCAGCTGCCCCCTTTACTCACGTCCTCTTTTTCCACTGACAAGAAATTCTCTTTGTCCGGTGAAACATCGTTTTCAACGCGGTTTTCACTGTCGATCTCCTTTTGAGAAGAGTTCATCCCAACAGAAGCAATATCTTCACCAACTGGCTCAGTCAAAGGCATATGAGGCTGAGGATCAGGTTCCAGCTCCCCTTCTTCTCGATCACTGCTGGGCCCACCACTCTCCACGGGCGGCATGTCTTCGCATTTCTTTCCTTCAACACTCTTCGACCGCTCACTCCCAGAATCCTTCGACCAAGCTGGAGATTTCGCATCTCTAAGTACTTGGGGTGACTTTGACTTCCCAACAACTTCTTTAGATTCAGTTCTATTTCCTCTTGCCCCTTCATTCCCACTCTTCGCCCCGTCATCACTTTCTTTCCCACTTGCGAACCTCCTCCACGAAGAAGCAATACCATCCCTCTTTGGCCTATCCCTCTCTGACCTAAACCCCTTTGGAAAATCTCTCCTCGGTCCAGAAAAGCTCTCGGATCGATGCATCTGACCCATTCCATAGCCACCCCTTGGCGAAGAGCTCAGAATCCCTCTCTCATTCACATCTCTATGCCGATCATAGCTCTTCCTCCGGTCGTAATTCTCCAAATCGTAATCCGGTCGTTTTCTAACCACTTTTGGGGTTTCCCTGTCATCTTCCAACCGATCGTACCTAGACGTTGATGAAGATACAACCTTTCTCCCACCGTCGGAGGACCTGTAATTAGAACTCCTATGCAGAGACGAAGACGAGCGTTGCTGCGAACTAGGGTCTTCCTCCCTTCTTCCCCAATCTTTCACAGGCGCCTTCTCCCCGTACGACTGGAGATCATCGCTTGACCTCAATCTCTTCATAATCTCCACTTTCAAAATAAATTATCACAAGTATTACAAAACTAAATTACATACAAAACATACTTATTTCCCAGAAACTACTTCAAAATTCAAAAAAAAAAAAACTTGAATATAAATCAACAGATCAACCCAAAAATTCAAATCCACAACCAAAATTACCAATTAACTGAGCTGGCAAAACATAAAGCAAACGAAGAATTCCAAAAACCCTCACGAACAAAAAGCCAGAAGCAAAAGCTCAACTTCACAAGCTAAAAGCACTTTTGCCCTAATTTCCCCCAAAACCCTCGGTTTCGTCAAAATTGGGGACAAAGGACGAAGATTTAGGTACAACTAAACCAGGATTCAAAGATGTAACCACCGGATGCACGTGCCGGAGATGGTCGCCGGAGAGCACGTGCGGGGGCAGATTTGTGTATAGATTATGTATGTATAGGTTGAGTGGGGGGAGAGAAGATTTTGCTTGCTTCTGTTCAGTCAACGGAAAATGTTAAGTATAGTGGGGTTAGGAGAGAGAGAGAGAGAGATGTAGAGAGAGAAAGAATACTTGAATACGCAAAGTGCGCATGTTAGCGGCTTTGGGAAGTGTGGTGTGCGTAATGCGCCTCATGTGCAGGTTAGTCACAGATCCCATTTAGTCAACTCAGGTTTGAAAAAATTAAAATTTAAAAAGTTAAAGTAGGAGGGTTTTGTTTTTCCACGTCAGCATTTCATTTTTTTTGCAAATTTAAATTTGCACATTTTATTGAGTACTTGTATTATTGACAAAATAAATAATTAGGGGAGGATTTTTTATGTTATTTATTACTTATGTTTTTGACTTTTTTTATTATTATTTTATCTTATTTCTTTTGAAATAAATCAATAATTGATTGAGCTTATTAATACTTAATAGTCATTAGAGAAATGACAGCTCATATATATTGTAGTGTTTCGGAAAAGAAGGATCATTTGACTTTGAATTTATTATAGTTAAACCGATTTTTTTATTTTTTTATTTTTAGTTTTAGCTGTAATTATGTCATATGTAATGATTTTTTTGTAATTGTTTTAGGAGTCACAATAAGTTTACAATTTTCTTATTCTTCTCCCAAAATAAAATTATATTTGTTAAGTTTTTCGAAAAATTCCGAAAAGAAACTAATGTAATATAGTTTAACATAAATAATATTTCCACTAAAAGAAATTACTCATTTTATTTTTTTAATTTTCTTTTAAAATTTATTTTTCGATACTTTTCAATATGATTTTGACAGGTGACTTTTAGTAAACGCAAGTCATGTTTTTTCCAATTTTAATTTTTAATCTCACTCCACACAGTTATCATCTCTTTAACTTTATTGTTCTAAATTTTTGCCAAGAAATAAAAAACTTTAATGTTCTAAATAGAATTCATATATTTTACTTTATTATATTCAAATTTAATTTTAGTGTTGTTGAGTTTCTAATTTTAAACTATTTTTTTAACTTTTAAAAATATTTTGGGGGAATTATCTAAACTCAAAATTTGTCGATATATTTGCCTTAAAAAAAGTAGATAGTTTTTGTGTGATTTTTATAGATTAAAAACACAAAAAAATGGTGATAACTTTTGAGTTAGGAAAAACTTGTAAAATCCCGAAAAACAAGCGTCTACGGGAGAACTAGTCAGTGTTATTATGTTTAAAATGCGAAAAACTCGTGTTTGAATGATTAATAATGCGATATTTTGGCGAAAGAAAAAGATGAAGTTAGTGCTAGGTTTTAATTTATTAAATAAGATCTTCTACATTTACTAAAAAATGTCCTGTATTTATCAACACCCATATGTAAATTATTCAGTTTTCAAAATAAAAATAAAAATAAAAATAATTTAATTTTCAAACTCTTTTTCCAAAATATACGTCTCCTAAATAAAATAAAAGTATTACCTTTAGTTTTGTATTTCAACTTGTAATAGAAAATGAGTTTTTGAACATGATTTATGCTTATCATTGATGAGAGAGAGAGAGAGAGAGAAGAGAGAGAGAGAGAGAGGAAACAAGGCGTCCAATTTCTGACTCGTTGAAGCTTAGATTTGACGTCTCAGAATTGTCTTTGTTTGACTCTTGTTCCTTTCCAATCGTAGACCAACCACTCACGTGCAGGTACGAAAAGACAATTATGCCCTTTCTTTTTATTTAGTTGACAGTTTAACCCTTTTCGTCACTTTGGCCCTCTTTCTTGCAAAGTTCAGCAATAATAGAAAAGCCTAACTACAATGGGCTTGTATCATATCTATATATTGGGCTCCAATTGTGTTTTTTTTTTTTTAAATAACCATATTCAATTGTTAAAAGTAATTGTATTTGTATACATTTTAAAGTTTTATGATTGAAAAATGATGTCATGAAAACAATTCCAAAATATGTAGCCAAGTAAAAATAAATTAAAAGGTTTACATATTAGGATTAATTCAACGTGATTTTTCACTCTAAATCGAATCTCAAATATTACAAAACGCAACAATTGTAATATATTTTATCGATTTTCTAATACAACTTGGATCGATACTATCAAATTTATATGAGAAAAAAATATATATAACCTATTTCAATTAATTTTAATGTCCCCTACATCAAGATGTATTTAGCGAATTTCCCGCGATGATCTAACTCAAACCTCAAAACATTATAAAATACGGAGCTTGTAGAACCTTTCATCGTCTTTCTAATGTAACTTCAATTAGACAATCGACATTCGTATGAAAAAATTACGATAAAAGTAATTCAATGAAACTACACAATCGTATTAAAACAATCAGAAACACGACGGTTGCCAACGTCGGTCAACTCCAATTGGTGAGAATTATGATTTTTTTTTAGTGTTGAAAATATTCACTAATATGGTTCTAGGCAAACAATTTTTCTTTTCATTCATTGAATGTAATTATAATTTATAACCACCATTGTTATTGACTTTTAGATAATAATCCCAATTAATAAACCAATGTATTTTAATTTTTAAGTAAGGAAAAATTGCATCCTTCCTTGATGAGATCTTGGGTAAGAAGTTAAATTAAAGGCTGCGGCTATATGCAATACTCATTCCACTTGTGCAAGACCAAATTAAAGAAAGATTCCAAGAGATTCTATTTTATTAAGATGGAATGACAAGTATGCCCATAAATTAAATTGGTTTTTTTTCTCATGTAAGACCAAATACAAATAATGAGAAAAAAAAAAACAAAAATTGACACCAAGGTGTCGAAAAACTATGCTAAAAATCGATACTTAAGCGTCGAATTTCATAGGTAAAAATCGACATTGACATGTCGAATTTATAGCACAAATTCAAATGTCGAATTTTATACCTCAAAATCGACATCTACATGTCGAATTTTATACCTCAAAATCGACATCTAAATGTCGATTTTTACCTGTAAAATTCGACCTGTACATGTCGAATTAGTTTGCGCGGGATTTTTTTTGGAAAATCAATATTCTAGCTAAAAAACCCATAAATGCATACATTCTTGGGTTCTTCCATCGTAGAATCTTCTATTGTGATGTCTTCTGACTCCATACTTGCCATCTTTGTAAGATTTGTTGAGTTTTGATGATTTTGAATTTCTAGGTTTTGTGGGTTAATGGAGGAGGAAGGAGAAAGGTCTTGTGAATTTTGGAAGATGGAGAAGATGAGAGTTGGTCTTGTAGTTTTGTGGTCTTGTGATGGGTTTTTTTTTTTTTTTTGAATTTTTGGTCTTGCATATTTGGAATTTTTTATTTTTTTAATAAATAAGGGTATTATAATATTTATACATTGAAAATTTTAATTTGGTCTTGCACAAGTAGAATTAGTCTTGCATATAGCCGCAGCCTAAATTAAATAATAATAATAATAATAATAATAATAATAATAATAATAATAATAATAATAATAATAATAATAATAATAATAATAATAATAATAATAATAATAATATTATTATTATTATTATTTTGTAAAGAAATCAAAAATCAATTGGACACAACCTAGTTCTAACCCCAACACAAATTTGCCCTTTGGGAAAAAAATCAGAAGGCGAAAAAAAGACTAAAAGCCGCACCTTTGTCCATGGCGATAATTCGCAAACAACACTGAAAAAAAATAATTCTTTGTCTGAACTTCTTCTGCTTCTTCTACATACGAATCTCGATCCGATTACGCACTCGCCAATCGCGATAAGGTTTTTTTTTGCCTTTTGCCCAATTGCTTCTGATTTTTTCAGCTCAAAATATTACGGATTTCGCAGCGCCTTTTTTTTTGGGGATTTTGGATTCTGGTTCCTAGGGCAGGTTTACAGATTCTCTATTTATGATTGATCAGTCATTGGGGGCAAAAAAAATAAAAAAAATAAAAACCCTTTTTTTTTTTTCGATTTGAGTTGCTGAACAATGGCGGCTATCGCAATGTTGGATCTATTGAGGAAAAATCCAAACTTTGGTGGCCAGGCGTTTAACTCGAGAGGGCTATTCTCCACGAAACTCGTCGGAGCATCCTCCGCCGCAGCTTCTTTCGCCATTTCAACTCCTTTTGCCTTTGGCGCATTCTTTGGGTAAATTGTTTTACCAACTGTGTGTTTTGTGTGTTTTTTTTAATTCTTAATTTTATGGCTTGTAGCTTTTGCTGAAAGGATAGAGTCATGGTTCAAATTAATGGTTTTGGTGGCGGTACATTCACAATGTAGGGTTATGATACAGATTGTTCTTTGTAGTTTGTTAGTGCCGATTATCAAGAAGCTATGATGTAGCTTGAAGTGGAATTAATTATGTGCTTGATAGAAAATCAATAGTTGAATTACTTGAATTAGTGACTAAGAGAGTAGAACAATCGGCCAATTAGTTTTTCAAGATTTCGGTGAAAGCATATCCAGAGTTGAAACTGTTAAATTTAACAAATTTGCTAATGATCGTTTTAATAGGTATCTGTTTATTTTGATCTTGTGAGGCGGAATATTGGGACATTCTTATTGGTTTGGGTAAATTACGAACCCCCCACCCGAGGTAAAGTCGAATTACGAAAAAAACCCTCCTGTGTGGGTAATTACAATCACCCCTCAACTATGAATCTTCTTACACGTCCACCCTTGCGGTGTCAAATTTACTGGAATCTTCTAGATTATATGGGAGGCCGTAATTTACCCTTTTTTTTTTGATTTTTTTGTTTTTAGTAAAACAACGCTTAGTTTTCGAGTTTATGTCAAGCTAGGATGTGTTTGTCTCTTTAGGCGGGTGCATTGGATTAGGGATTTCGGGTCCTTCTTACTATGTGAAGACTGTCATCCATTGATGCGAGAAAATGATTTGTTGGAACATAATAAAATTACCGATAAAATGAAACTGGAATGATGTTTAACTGGAATAATATATATCTCGTGTTTCATATGATTGGAGAGTGATGGAGTGTAACTGAAACCTGCGCTTAATGGAAAAAAAAAAGCATTTCACTTGAATCAAATTGTTTTACATCTATCTCGTTTTTAAAATAACCAAAAAAAGAAAGAATAAAGAATGCTGAGAAACTATATGATACATCTCGTTTTCGATCGCTACAGCTGATAAATATTGTTGTATGTATAATAATGGCTGTCCCAGAGATGGTGCTTCGCGGGTTTCCTACTGCGATGCCGGAATAGCTATTGACGAAGATTACATTTCGAGTATAAGGAGTGCATCCGCAAATATATTTCAGAGCGATGCACTGAAATACACTACCAAGCAATACGATATTGAGTTGAAATCGCTGTTCTCGGCATTTCACTGGAAGAATCTCGCCGTGACGTCGTTGAGGTCTTTCTTGTTATTCTACTTGCCTCTTTTGGAGCCCAAGCCAGAAGCTGACGAGGACGACGAAGATTTTCTTGAAAATCCCGAAGAACAAGAACCTTTGGATTTGTCCGTTCCTTTCAAAAAATCAGTCAAACAAATTATTCGCGAGGTATAACATTTTTTTTTCTTTAGTGTAAAGATTGCTCTTTTTTTTCGATATCAGAAGTATGTGCTACTAAGATTTGATCATAACCGTCCAATGGAAGCCCCCCTTTGTTAATCACAACGCGACACTCGAAATATTTTAGCTTTTGTTTGAAATTTCTTCAGTTATTGGCTACGAGGGTATAATAAACCTTACAATAATAACCGTGTTGTATTCTCAGACTAGTGTAGTTACTACAAGACGTGTTTTTGAGAGACTTGCAGTTCATTATGTTTCACATAGGATGGCCTGGAAGCTTCTCAAAGGTATTCTTAGTTGTTGATTGTTCAATAATACTATTGTTTATATATTTTAGGGTAAATTACGGCCACTCCCTGAGGTAAGGTCAAATTACGAAAAAACTCCTTATGTTTGGGTAATTGCAACGACCCCTCAACTATGAATCTTCTTACATGTCCACCCTTTTGGTGTCAAATTTAGTGGAATCTTTTAGATTATGTGGAATAATCTCTAGTTTGTACCCGTTTTACCCCTTTCGAGCTCCACAATTTGATGCAAGATGATCGTAAGATAAGAAAGATGTGTCTCTTGGCTTGTAAAAATAAGATTGTGGGGCATCAGAAGCTACATTTTTGCACAAAACGAGTACAAATTAGAGAACATTCCACGGAATCTATAAGATTCTGTTGAATTTGACACCATAAGGTTGGACGTGTAAGAATCAAGATTCATAGTTGAGGGGTGGTTGTAATTACCCAAGCACGAGGTTTTTTTTTCATAATTTAACCTTACCTCATGGGTGGTTGTAATTTACCCTATATTTTTTATAAAACAATTCCTGTATTTGCCTGATGTGATGTACCATAATAGATGTTCCAAAGTCGGCCGCTCGCAAGGCTGCAAGGAGACTGCCGGTTCTAACATACTTCAGCTGCGTCAGCAAAACCACTTTTCGAGGTCAAATAAGTAATATCCACTCTGTTGGGCTTTGTTTGGTTAAAAACCTGAAAATTTCTCACCTTTTCTTCTCTTGGTATCGAATATCAAAACAGGGCATCTTCTTGCCGTTTTAGCATCGTGGACAGTTCAAATTAGCATCGATATATACCACTTCTTTGCTTCTATATATAAAACCAGTAAAGACGAAGAAGAAGCTGATACAGTTGAAACTTCACAACAAGTTCGCCTTCTTGGAAAAAGAATTTGTGGGGCCACTTTTAAGTGCGGCGCCTCGCTAGTTTTCGCGTCTATTGGAGCTGGAATTGGAGCAATGTTCATTCGTCCTACGATTGGCCAATGGATTGGTAAGATTCGTTAAAAAAAATATTTATTTATTTAAAACAAAAAAAAAAAAAAAAAAACTGTTGTTTGAAATGAAAATTTTCTATATTTTTTTTTGTAGGGTGTGGCCTAGGCGATTTAGCGGGACCCGTTGTGGTTACATTCATTTTTGAGAAACTTAACTTTGAACTCTAAACGGTGGCACGGTGCACTTGTCGAAATCTCCATACGCATACACTTGTCGGGGTCTTGTTGCTCCTGCAGTAACTCGATGCTTTCTTTTTTTATCTTTCTATATTTCATTTTTTTGAGAAAAATCGAACTTGTTTTTCGATTTGGGATTTACATAGAAACATGATTGATTGATAATATGTTTAGGAATACAATCAGTTGTTAATTTATTTCATGAACTTGTAGTTGCAAGAATTTGCGAGACTTGTGTCTTAATTGGTGATACAATTGATTTTTATTTTTGGAGTTCAGTTGGTCTCAATAGTATGTATGAGATGTTCGTAATAAAGATCTTATTTTCCTCAATTAGAATTTAAATCAGCAAATGGCTATTTGTAATTACAGCAACTCGTTTTGTGTAGAAATGTAGCTTCTGATGCACCACGATATTTACAAGTTAAAATTCACATCTTATGATCATATTGTTTCAAAATGTAGAGTAATAAAAAGAGTACAAACTAGAGAATATTCTACATACTCTAAAAAATTTCACTAAATTTGACACCGCCATGATTTACTATAAAAGAATTCACAGTTGAGAGGTGGGTACTTGCAATTACCTAAACATGATTTTTTTTGGGTAAATTCCACTTTACCCCCTCGTACTCTCAATTTCATCGATTTACCCCCCTACAGTGTACACCCAATACAGCCCTCTCCGTCAATTTTTTTCGATTTTGACTCTGACGCCGTTTGATCAACTCTGTAAATTACAAAATTGCCAATAACACGTCGTTTCTTCTCCGTCAATATTGTCGTTTCTTCTTCTCCCACCACTTCCCCTTCCAAGATATCCCCAAATTCAAGCCCTAACTTGGCAAAAATCAAGATCAAAAAATTGATCGATTCCACCAAGTGCAAAGAAAAAAATATATGAATGTGTGAAACTTTCTCTTTTCTAAACTCGAGAGTCAAAATAAAAAAAAGTCAATATTTACGTCAATATTTTGACTCTGACCAAACGGCGTCAGAGTCAAAATCGAAAAAAGTTGACGGAGAGGGTTGTATTGGAAAATTGTACAAGTACAGGGGGTAAATCGATGAAATTGAAAGTACAAGGGGGTAAAGTAATTATCGGACAGAGTACGAGGGGGTAAAGTGGAATTTACCCTTTTTTTTTTTATTTGACCTTACCTCAGGGCTTGACCGTAATTTACCCTAAATTCATTCATTACATAATTTTGGAAAAAAGAAAAAAAAAAAAAAAGCAAGAGTAATTGACGGAATAAAGTAAGAAAAACACAAATAATATTTCATTTCTCGGACAAGACAAGTGGATGGAGTCGGACAGCGTACTTGATGATGAAATCACCACCAACAGCCGCCCTTTGCTTCCGCCGGATGTTGTCGGCGGCGGCGAGGAGCGGAGCGGTTCCGATTCCGCCACCGCTGTTCTTGTTCTGAGCACCTTCGTGGCGGTGTTAGGTTCATATGTTTTTGGTTCTGCTGTAAGCTCCCCAAATATATAATTAACTAGCCCCCATTTTCATATGTACTTCTTCACTTATTATTTTCTCTTTCAATATTCTTTAATATATATATATATATATATATATATATATATATATATATATATATATATATATATATATATATATGCAGGTGGGATTCTCTTCACCTGCTCAGTCTGGGATTCTTGATGATCTTGGCCTATCACTGGCTGAGGTAATAATTAAGTTGCTATTTCTTGAGATTTTTAATTTTCGGAGATTTGTTAAAGATTGTCGATTTTAATTACTTGTACGAAGAAAAATGTATAGAATCCTTGTGTTTGATGGAGTTTAAGTACATGGGATTTTTGAACTATGATTAATCGAAATTGTTTTGATTCAGTCTTAGTAAAAAATGACAGTGAAGTAATTCCATAAGTATAATACAAGTGTGATATAAACCCGAAAACCCAAAAACCCAAAAACCCGAAACCCAAAAACCTGAAACCCGAAAACCCGATACATGGTGGAAGGTTATTTGGAATAATAAATGATACAGTACTCGAAAAACTTAAATCTGTGCGATTTGTTAAAGGTGCCTTGTGGCTACTTTGACAATTGCAAATTACGTTTTTTATTCCGATTTTTATGCAATTTACGGTTTTATTGGCATACAATTTTTTTTTTTGCAGTACTCGTTGTTCGGGTCGATATCAACTATCGGAGCTATGATTGGAGCAGTCGTGAGTGGGAAGATAGCAGATCTCTTTGGAAGGAGAGGAGTAATACCTCGTTTCTCTCGATTATTATTAATTTAGTATTAACAAATTTCGATTGTAAAATGTTTATTTGTCGTCTCATGCAAAAATTTGATCAAATTTATAATGCAGGCAATGGGTTTCGCGGAGTTGTTCAATATCGTTGGATGGGTTTCAATAGCCTTTGCTAAGGTGTTCACCTCTAATTTTTCGTATTTTTATATATATAATAATTATATAAGTAATAGAATTCTCAATAATAATTATAGGCAACCGATTTTTTAATGGAAGTTTATTTCCTATTTATAAAAAACAAACCTTTATCGTATTCCTCGTAATTCAGCATATTCTTTAACAGAATGCATGGTGGCTCGATAGTGGGAGGCTGTTAACTGGATTCGGAGTCGGGCTTCTCTCATACGTCGTACTTACATTTTCTACTCCAATTTTTCTTTTCATGTAATGGATTTTTATTTACTATTTTATTTTGTTTAAGTTCATTGTGAATATTCATTAGGTACCTGTATATATAGCAGAAATCACGCCCAAGAATCTCCGAGGCGCATTTACTGCAGTCAACCAGGTACGTACTTTAAAGAATAAATAAATAAATAAACTCCCTTTATTTTGATAATAATCGAAATCAATTTTATAGTTTAGAATAATCTATATATAATATAAAAAGAGGATCTATGCCCTCAATGATTGACATGTGGCAAATATTGATGTCATTTATCAAAATTGCTTAGTTGGAGTTCAATTGATGAGGTGGATTCTTCAATTGGTGAGTTGGCTTTATATTTTTGGTATGTGTTTAAGTTATTTCCTATTTAATATTTGCACAATCATCTAAACATTACCACATATACATATATTCTTTAATGCATTTAATCTATATATAAATTCGAAAAATATTTATTTTTTAATGCATAAAATTAATTTTTTTTAATATTATGTATATATTTTTGATTTTTTTTTAATTAATGTATATATTTTTCAATTTTAAAATATTTTGAAAATTTTCGAATTCTATGCAAAACATTTTTGATATTTTTATTATAATAATATTCAGAATTTAAAAAAAAAAATAATGCATTAATATATTTTATAAATTTATATTCATGTATTTATTATATTTTATTAATCATTTATATTTGATATCTTTTAGAATTAAATGTCATGTATTTTAATTTTGTCCATATATAGTAAACATATCAATTTATATTGAAAGAAGGTGTGCCATATCCATCTATACATATCAATATATATCATCCGGATATATATATATATTCTACATACTATTTTTTTAATTACATATAACAACCATCTTTTTATTTATTTATGTAATTTATAAAGACAAGATACACAATTGAGTTTTTCACATATCCAATTTTGACCACAGTTTTTTTTTTCTTCTTTCAATTCGGTTAACTTTCCTTTTATATTACACATTCTGGTATTTACAATTATATTTTTTAATTTACAATCATTCCATTTTTTAATTAATGTAGTTGACAATTTACAAATTCAATTTTTATAGTCATCCAAAAAACCCGATTTATAATTATCATTTTCATATAGATTTGTGTATTTTCATTACTTTGTAAATAAAACTTGATTTACCATTCTTTTTATTTTATTTTATTTTTATTTTTTAATTACTTCATTCATTTTTTTAATATCATTTTTACACAAGTTTATATATATTTCATTTTACTTTTATTTTTCGGGTTCTCGTGCAATAAACCATCGAAAAATGATAATTAAACTAAATTGTTTTTTTCAAATAAATTTTAATCTTAATTATCATTTCCATATTTATTTGTCTATTCAATTTTTATGGATTGTTTCTGGATTCTCATTCAATAAACATATTTTTTTCCGGATTACCTTTACACTCTTATTATTTCTATATTTATTTCATTATACTTATTTTTTTCGGATTCTCATTCATTTTTAAATAATTTCAAATTCAAATAATTTGGCCATTGATATGCTTTTAATATTATTGATATTACTACCATATTCAATTGATATTCTCTGTTTTCATCATGCAAACACAAATATATAAACCCCTACAACTTCAATTCATTCCACCACTGCATTTCATTCAAATTACACGTATGTGTGTATTATATTTAATTTTTTTTTATCGTCTCTTTGCTGTATTTTCCAATTTTTTTATTGTATATTTTTTTTCTGTTGGTATCAACATATATAAAGTATATATTTATATGTTTTTCTTTTCCAGATGAATATGATGTCAACCTATGAATCTGAGAATTCGACAAGAGACCAATAATTGATTATTGGTTTCAATATGATCCAATCATGTCGTTTGCGGAAAGATTATGTGCCGAAAGTTATAGATGAATGTCAGATGTGGTATTGAATGGAGAAATTAATAGTTATGATTTGGAAAAATTAATCGTATCGACTTCTTTTTTGGTGAATCACCGACTAAGTATCAATGTTACAAGACATAAGACGACTTATTTTAAATACTGTGTTCGTTTAGAAAATTTCAGTAGAGCATCAATAAGTTAACATAGTTTAATTATTTATTTGTCTTAGTTATGTATCCCATTTCTTCGTTAATCATGTTGAAGTCGTTGTTCCTTTGACAAAGTTTGTGTACAATGATTAAAATTGTTCTTTAATTATATTTGTGACCTCTGAAAATAAAATATTTGTAATTTGTACATTAAATTATTTATTAATTATTTACCACATCATCCACAAAATTCGTCTTTTTTTCCATAGCTTGATTGGTTTTTTTTTCCATATCATTGCTAATATATAAATCTTGGAAATATTGACAATTTACACATTAATCTGCAATCAATCAATCCGCTCATTGGTCCACATTACTTACATATTTATATTACTATCAATAATAATATAATCTTCTAATTTATTTAAATCTAAAAGATATTATTACACAAACCACATCATAAATCCTATAAATACTTCCTCCATTGTTATCACTCATTTATTCGTTTGCTTTTTCATTATGACGTCCTTATATTTTTTTCAAATGTTATGTGGTTTGTGAATATTATGATATTGCATTTCCACTATTGTTATCCACTGTTATTTGTTCTTATTTTTTTATTTTGATGTTATTCTTGATATTCTTTTTTCCATTGTTTTTTGTTGCTATTTTTTTAGAGTTGTTGATGTTCATTGTCCATTTTTGATAATTATGTATATCTTTTCCATTTTTTCTGTTATTTTGCGTACCGTACTACACTTAATATGTTGACCTTACTGCAATCTTGCCTTAATATAGTTAAATTGTGCATAATTATGAAATCAATTGATAATATCCTCTATGCACATTTAATACGTATTATATGGAAATTTATATCCGTGGTTATGGAATGATTAAGAAAAATTACATGGAAATTGGTATACTTAAGCTTTATAAGAAAAAACCGTGCAATTATATTATATATATGATTATACTATAATTATTCGATTCTAAGATTTCATAAACGATATTTTATAATGTTAAACTGATAATTTATATTTTTTAAATGATTTTTTATTTAATTATTTTTATTATTTTGACAAACCCAAACCCACTTATTGGGATAAATTATTTATGCAACATCTGTTTTGTTACTAAATCTAGACAAAATATTCAAAAAAAAATGGATAATTCTTTTTATACTGGTAAAATAAAATAAAAAATCATTTCTAAGTTATATTTTGGCGAATTAGGTGTGTTGAAATACTTAAATTGTTTCGAAAAACATAAAACTTATTTAAATATGGATAAATAATTTTTAAAATATGTATACCGTTACCACCACGGGATACAAGATTTTAAAAATTGGGTGAACGACATTTGATAATGATGATAAAATTAATAATTTTCATTTTTTTAAGGTTATGTTTTGGTGACTTATATTCTCTGAACTATTTTAATATCTTACACGACTAACTTAAGTTCATTTAAATTACGACAAATAATTTTTAAAATTTATATTTCGTTACAACTACTAGATACAGTATTTGGTAATGAAAAAAATAATAACTTTCATTTTCTTAGTTATTGTTTAGTGAATTATGTGGTTTGAACTTTGGACTATTTGAGTTTATTTAACAAATATTTTTTTTGTCAACATTTATTTAAAAAATCTTAATTCATATAAATTTGGGTAAATAATTTATAAGATACCCATTTTTTTTTACCACCACTAAATAAAATATTTAATAATGGGTAAATAAAATTTATAATGGTAAATTATTTTTTTGCATAAGTTATTATTTGGTGAATTATGTACTGGCCTATTTTAATTACTTTAACTAATCACAAACTCATTTAAATTTGGAAAAATAATTTTATTTCTTTTGAGGAAATTTCCGTAAATAATTATTAAAATACTTATTTCTTTATCAACACGAGATAAGAGATCTAAAATTTGGTAAACGATATCTTTATAATGATAAATTGATAATTTTTATTGTAATTTATTGTTTGGTTACTATTTTAATATTCCGACACACATCTAAAATTGGACAAGGATAAATAATTTTTGGAATATATATTTCGTTACAACACCTAGAGTTAAATATTTAAGAAAATGGTAACAAAAATTTTAAAATCTAAAATAATTTTTTTTTAAGTTGGGATAAAAAGAATTAAAAAATTAATACCGTCACTATAACTAAACAAAAGGTTCAAATATGGGTTAATAAAATTTTATTTATTATGGTAAAATAGCAATTATCATTTTTTATGTTATTGTATGATGAATTATGTGAGTTGTACTATTTTAATTATCCTGACAAAATTAAAACGCATTTAAATTGAGATAAATAATGTTTCAAATTTTTATATTGTTGCAATCATTAGATACAAGATTTCAAGAAAAGGAAAACGATGTTTTATAAAGGGGAAATAACAATTTTTATTTTTTAAATTATTGGTTTGGTGAATTATTTACATTGTACTATTTTAATCTAATAGACTAATTTGAGATAACTAATTTTTAAAATTTATATTTCATTACCACAACCAGATATGAGACAGAAAAAATGGGTAGATGAAATATAGTAATTGCCAAATCATAATTTTTACAAGTTATTATTTGGGGAATTATATGGATTGAACTATTTTAGTGTCTTTAACTAACTAAACCCATCTAAAATTAAATCAATAATTTTTATAATGCCTATTGTGTAATATGAAAGCTTTAAAAAATGGGTGGACAAATTTATTTCATGCTAAAATAACAAATTTTGCAAGTTATTGTTAGGTGAATTATTTGTATTGAACTATTTTAATTACTCTGACTATTCTAAATTTATTTAAATTTCGGAAATAAATTTTAAAATATGTATTTCGTTACCATTAGAAGATACAAGATTTAAAAAATGGGTGAATGAATTTTTATTATGGTCGAAATGATAATTTTATTTTTTTAATTATTTGTTTGTGAATTATGAGTATTTTACTATTTTATTGTTCCGAAAAAACTAAACCCACTTAAATTGGGATAGACACATTAAAATATTTATTTCGTTACCACAACAAGATAAAATATTTAAAAGTTGGGTAAACAACAATGTAATAAAGGTAAAATCATATATTTTTTTTGTTTGTAAGCTTATTGTTTGGTAAATTATGTGAGTTGAACTGTTTTAATTACTTTGACTAATTAAACTCATTTAAATCTAGGTAATAAATTATATATTAGATTTGTTGTTAACAAGACTAGATATAATATTTAAAAAATATGTAGAAGAATAGTAATAATGGTAAAAGTTAACTTATTTGTTTCAAGTTATAATTTTTCAATCGAATTAATCAACATTGTGTTGTGCTCTGAACCCCTTCACATAGGTTGAAATTCAAGTTCGTTCATACGAATATCGATCATGCAAAAGGAATGTGCAATGAAACTAGGCTTCAAATTAATCGAACAGACAATCACATTCTTCAAGTTAATGTTGATCCCATTGAACTTCACCTTGCTACAAAGTACCACACACGACAATTTTTTGTTGTTGATGATTTCGTTTGCAAACCATCAACAAAAGTTGGAATCAAACGCACGTACATCTGTATCTTTCAATAC